AAAAAGCCAGAAGGGAATGATTCTACTCACCAGAACAAATTCAATAAGCTGTAGTTGTTCTGGTGACTATAGTGTCCCTTTAACTTGCTCACCATATTCTGTGATCTGTGCCTAGGATGCAATGCCAGCCCTGCCTCTGTAGTGTATCATTCAAGGCAACAACCAGATAGGCATATTGTTTGCATACAGTATGTCAAGTGTAATAGCTCATCTGGTTAATGCACCAACTGACATTAGCTACATATTCAGGTTCCACTGCAAAGCTTTTCCTCTGACACACGTGAGAAAACACTGTATAAAATTTGATGTTGTGTCTGTAGCAGCACATGACCACAGGCATAGAATTAAATAGAGAGCAGCGACATGTTGTGAGACTTGATATACAGATATTTCTATAAGGCAGCACAGCGCAGGTTATTTATCTGGAAATTATTTAAAAAATTTTAAAGTTATAGGCAGGTTGGAATAAGTATGTATATAAATTATTTGCCAACTTCCGCTAACAGCGATCTGACAACTATCAAAGGTGGACGTTACATTTTTATCAGTAAATAGACAAAAGTAACTCTTCCACTTACGCTATCTCTGTCAGTATACAAGTAAGAAATCTGTGTAGCATCAATTGTTTGTTACTAATAGGGTTTAAGTGTATCTCCAAGTATTAGCAAGCACACTTTTACAGACAGTTTTTTTTTTTTTTTATAAAATATAGATCTATCAAACCATTTAGTATAAGCTTCAGCCACACAATCCACATTCGTGATCCCACCACCTTTTTATTTTCCTAAACATCTTCATGTCAATCTCCAGCTTTCAAAACATGACCTCTTATGCGAGAGTTTCTCATTTCCTACGTCCCATGTTTCTGTTTCGAAAAATGTTTAGACTTGCTCTGTGTTTGATTTTCCCACCGTATCCCAAGATTACAACACACCCTGACTGTCCAAATCCTGGCAGATCTCCAGAGAACTGTGGACTGCTCACCAAGTCTTCAAAATGATGAATCTGGAAGGATTCCAACGAGCGGCTGCTGCTCCCGTGAGTAATACATAGTGGAGAGGACAACAACTTTGCATCACTGTGAGCGTGAGCTAGAGGGACGTCCAACTGAGTACGGCATCTTTCTACATCAGCATCGCCAAGTGTCCCGTAACTTCCAGAACTACAAGGAAAGTTCCGAGAAGAGGAGGGTGCTTAGAAAGAAAAAAAGAGAGTGATCGGACGACAGCTTGAATAAATTAATAACTTCTTACGTATGATGAGTTTGTTTATTAAGTACTGGTTGTCAAACTGTTCTTGGACAAAACCAAGCTGTCTGAAGCGCTGGACCAGCATTGCAGTTCAACACAGAAGCCTTAAATTCTCATACTTTCTGCCACATGCTTGCAGATAGATTATCCTTGTATTAAAATGCTCTTTTTCAGCTCCCTCCACCAAGCTCAAGTTGGGCTTAGAATGGCAGCTAAGGTAGATTGCATCCCAGGTTCACCTTGGAAGAAGTCTTTTAGGCCTACATTAACCAAAATGTGAAGAATAAACCAGCAGTAGAGTTATAATAGTGATGAGGTAGGTAAACCTCATCAATCTCCATGGATTCTCTAATCCCCTTAGTTGTAATCTCCAGTGCTGTCAATATCCAAATGTATTTATTGGGATAGTTTAAAAAATGGAACAAAAGGAAGTTCTCAGCTTTATAACATGACGGGGGAAAAAGAAAAGAAAAAAAGGCTTGTGTATGGCTACATGCCCCACTTGGCTGTTAGTATTGTAATATGGGAACCCCACTGTGTATAAAGTTACATTTAACTCAAGTATGTTTTGGTACCAAGTGGATTATATTTGCTATACCTTGCCCAGGAGTCACATGATACTTGTAGCTACTGTGCTAAGCTTCCAAATCAGCTCTGATTCTGTTAACCTTCTTTAGTAATAGTAATTTGCTGTCTTAAGAATCCATGAACTGTTTTCGGTCAAGGGCTAAAACTAATTTTCCTTTATTCCAAAAGAGTAACACTAGTATCTCTGAATGATGCAAATATGTTGAGATTTTCACGGTAACAGTAAAAAGTACATTAGAATCGGCAAATAAGCAGCCCCTTGAGCCATTTACTGCAAAATAAGAAAACTGCAGGAAATGTCAGTGCTTTGTCAATAACAATAACAATAAAAACAATATCACACAATAACCAAGAAACTGCATTTAAACAATTCTGGCATAAATGTAGACATGTTTTACAGTCACCAACTCTGCTGGGAAGCTATACCATGGATGGAAGTAATCGATTTCTAAAGGAGCACATTCTAAATATTCATCAGTTGCATTCAGCTCATCGCAATCCGTGATGTGTTTCCTGCATTTCACAAAAATCCTGAATATGTCTGAATCGATCACCAGTAAATTGAATGTTCCCTGAATTAATGTCTGCATTGATTCATTTATTATGTCTCTTTTTACCTTGACTATAGCTGGTGGTCTGTCTGTTTCCTTAATTTCCTTAAATGTAAGCTGCCCTGATTTATATCATTTTAAGTGCTCCATGACACGAGAATCCGGTCAAATACTAAAAAATTTATATCCCTTGCATTATTAGACCCGTAATATTTTTATGGAATTGCTCTTGTTGACGGCACTGAAAGGCCGGACATTTTCCTCCTGCTGCACATGGGTGATCATAGATGTGATTATCCCTTGTTTAACGCCAAAGGAAAAAAAGTCTCAGAAAAGACTTGTGTTCTGTTTTCAAGATGTCTCTTTCTTTTATCTCTGATTTATCTCTCATGTTACGACAGTTTCTGGTTACGACACATTTAAAGACAGTTATGTGAAAAGACCACTTCCATTTTCATACAGGTCCCTGTGGAGAAACTGGCTAGTTAACTTAAAAACAAATGTCCTAATGCGATGGTCCATGAAATGCAGCAAAACAGGACTTTCGTGTTCTGGATCTTGCAGTTTATTATAAACATTTTTGTAAGATTTTCTTTCTTTCTCCATGTCTTGAAAAGTTTTTCCTCATTTGATTTACCTGCATATAATTTTCAGCTAATCTTTGCAATGATTGATTGGACTTGCATGGTTTCCAAAATACTCTGGAAAAGTTGTTCATGTTCTGCAACAATGGCTTTCAACTTCACCATAAGGGATTATAAAAGGAACCATATATAATATGCCACTTCGTCTTGTAGATAGAAATACACAAACGGTTCCTTGGAGAGTCTCAGCCAAGTAAAGGAAATGGGAAAACGGTTTAGGAAATATTCAGTTTTACAGTATTTCCTTGTCATTCAGGAGGGACCCATCTCTGCAGTTGACAAAGCGTGTCACATTATTCTGATGTGAATATTTATGGTGGGTTCCCATCTGGTGTGAAATTGCCTGGTTATTTCCATAACAGAGGGCATATCGGAGGGCAGCTTGATTTTTACGGGGATTTTCCTTTTCTTTTGTAACAGATATCAGACGAGACACCAAGCACTGTTTGTTTTGCAAATACAGCCATTTCCAGTGCAAATTGATATATTGAAAATACATCTGAAGTTTTCCAAGATAATAGCTGAATATGCATGTTCTCTTTATTGGGATGAAAAGGGAGTAATGAGATTTACATCTGAGCTTCCAGGAAAGAAAACAGAATAAGGGGCATCAAAGAAAATACATTCCTCCAACAAGTTTCAAAAGATTTTTGGCATAACTGGGCAGTGGACAACACTTATGGATAGTCTCATATTTTACATAAGCCAAACACACATACTGTTACTGAATATTATTTTTTGCCACCAATGCCTTGTGTTGTACGTCACAAAAGTGCTGAGCTGTTCCTCTTTATTTCTCGCTTAGTCCAACCCAGTTCCATGACTACAATCTCTGCCGGCTGTCTATCTATGAACTTGCATTTCTTACTATTTCTTGATTTGCAGCCTTGATCTCTTGCCTGATTAGGACAGTTCCTGACCCACTTGCTGTTACAGATATATATTTTTTTCACTGTGCAATCAGATGGCCTCTTAACAGTAATGACACAACTCCTGGATGGGTCCGCATGGTGCCTTTGTCACAAACTGAGATCCTATGCCAGAAATCTCAAGAAGCACTTAAGAAACCTTATCCTATGCATTGTGCTCAGTACAATACTGTATAAATTAAAATGCAGAAGATCTAAAACAAACATAAACGATTTCTAATTCACAGAACAAAACCACAGTATTTCTCCAAGCCTGACTGTGATAAAGATTTAATTGTGTCTGAGCGCTGACAATATTCTAGTTCAGACATTTCTGCACAGCAGTTTCTCGTTCACACTGCAATCCTTGTTCCACTTTTTTTTTTTTATTACAACAGTTAGTTCGCTTTCCTGTGTTACTTATTTAGAGCCTTTGTCTCCTATTTGAATACACCATATTATCTCATTCTTTAGCGGTGGTTGACTCATCCTGGTGATGAAGAGACATCCCCAGCTGTCACAATTCCCTCTTCATTTCAAGCTAAAACGATGACAAGCATCCTGACACTTGTTAGTCAACTGTCATTCCTAACCATCCAGAAAAATTAGACATCTTTAATTTCACAAGTGTTCAAGGGTAAACCAACAGAGCTGCTATTTAATAATGTGCCTACCTATCCTTAACATATGTACAATATAGGAGTGTATTATCAGATTGTCATCTCTGGGGTCTATTGCAGGAGTCAGCAACCTATGGCATGTGTTGCATACATGGCACTCTAGGTACCTTTGCACAGAACTCAAGGCTGCTACAGCCAAACAGGCTCGGGCCTACCAGGAGTTCCAGTGGAACTTCAGCTATATGCTAGTGCAAAAAGGTGGTGAGGGACAATTACCAGATTTTACTATTTCATGACGTAAAGTCATGATTTTATTAATGACACGGGGGCGAGTATTATGCTGCACTCTTTCTTTATTTCCCTCAGCAGCAAAAAATTTTTTTTAAAAAAATCAGTATAATAATAATCCATAACCTGATAGGTATATCTTCCCAGTAACAGGAACAGCGAATCAGAATCCACACTCTAGCATAATAGGTGGTGATTTACAAACTACTTCCACTTTCTTGAACAAGGATGCATCCAACAGAAAAGGAATTCCACTAAGAGGATATTGTCCATATCAAACGAATTTCCAGGATAAGTATGGAACAAAATGATCTCTAATCTAAACTGCAAGAGAGAAACAATATGGTAATATCCAAGCCATAACTAGATGTATGCCTAGTTTTATACTGTAATATGTATATCAGTCAAATATGTAATATAATAGTATTCAAAATACTTGCAAAGGACCAGCCCATATATGATATCACCATGAAGCATTGAAACTTACCGTGAAGCCCAACTTAACCAGTCATAGGTCAGTATAGCTTGGAGGAAAAACGAGACAGGGGGGAGAATACAGAAGTATTGATGCCGGCTAGGGCCATAATCCATTTGATCCCTCGGGTCAATAAAGTAGAGGATACCGGGAGTTGTGGTTTGCGGAAGGAGATGAACAGTTGATGCTTCTGAGGATTCCATAAAGAAATTGTACGACTTTCATATTCCCGTAAACATGCCACTGGGCAAAGGAGAGGTCTCTCTGGGAAGGCCGGGTATAGAACAAACTTAGAAGAGGTCTTGGTCCGTCTAGAGATGTCAAAAAGGACGCCTTCTGGAGTATGAGAATGAGCATCCATGTCAAGAGCCCATACGTCAGAGACTCTTTTGCACGAGATTGGGCAAAAAAGCAAGACCAATTTAGCAGAAAGTTGTTTGAGGGATAACATGGATTGTCTGGCCAGGATTCCAGGAAGTTGAGGACTAAGGAAACGTCCCAGAGTAAAGTATAACGAGGCAAAGGAGGACAATAAAACCGCACTCTGAGAAGGAGACGACAGACAGAGGGATGTCGTCCGATAGGGATACCATCAATGCCTTGATGTCCTGCAGAAAGCACAGAACAGTAAAGGTTAACCGTGCGGTACGCTTTCCCTGCCTCAAAAAGAGAAGTCATAAAATGTAAGATGGATGTTAAAGGAGCCGGATTTCTATCCAGGCATCAACCATTCCAAGCAAATTTTTTAAGCTTGCCTCGTGCCGGGTGCCCATGCATTCTCGAGAAGTCTGATAGTAGATTGCGGAACGCTTGGGATTGACCAAGGCCCCTGAAATCAGTCACACTATAAGACGTAGAAGGCCCTGGAGGATCAGTGGGTGGGGTTGACTATCTGGGTCTTGGATGAGAGAGTAATACAATGGGAGAAGGTGAGGAAAATCCACTGCCATTTCCAATAGATGCGGAAACCATGGTTGTGAGGGCCATAGAGGGGTTACGAGCACCAACATGCCTTTTTGGTGACATGGTGGAGCAGGCAACGAGGAATCAGTGCAAATGAGATAAATGCATAGTTTCCGTAGACTAATTTTGGAAAAAAGCGTTTGTTGCCAGAGCCTGTCGGATCTGGCCTCCAGCTGAATAAACGAGGGGTTTGAGCATTCAGTCGAGAGGCAAAGAGATCGATTCCCAATGGTCCCCACAGGTCTGTGATTTTCTGGAATATCAAAGGGTCCAGACACCAATCGCTTAAGTCTTTGAGGTGGCGGGAGTACCAATCCGCTGTGGTGTTGGAGAGGCCAGGAATATATTCCGGTGTCACCAAAATGTTGTACATAAGGCAAAATTGCCAAAAATCGCGAGTCATGTTCGCCAGCACTTTGGACTTTGTGCTTCTTAGATGGCTGATGTATCTGACTGCTGAAATATTGTCCATCTTCAGTAGGATTATGCATTCCGAGTGGGTTGGAGAGAGGCTGCGCACAGCAAACGATACGGCCAGAAGTTCTAGGCAATTGACATGTAGTGTTGATTCTAGATCCGACCATCTGCCTCCCGTGGAGATATTTCCACAACGCGCACCCCAACTGTGTAAACTCGCATCTGATTCTATGATCAGGTCTGGGGTCATTCCGAATATAGCTCATCCATTCCAGACTTCCATGTGAAGAAGCCACCAATGAAGCTAGTCTTTCGCCTCCTTCTCAAATGTCACTATGTCTTCGTATGATGCACCGCGAGGTAAGAGGCTTTCAGCCGTTGAAGTACCAGATAGTGTAGAGGACCTGGGAATATGGCTTGGATGGAAGCCGCGAGGAGTCCAATGAACCGTGCCAAGTGTTTGATAGAGAGTTGGGAAACAGCCAACGTGCGTCTTATTTCTTTTTTGATATTTACCAGCTTTGATGTTGGTAGATTTAGAGTCTGAAGAGTTGAATCGACCATTAGTCCCAGGAATTCGATACTTTGGGAAGGAGCCATGAGGGACTTTTCCCAATTATTAAGGAAACCCAGGTTTTGTAACAACTTCATGGTCCACGTCAGGTGTGTGTGGAGAAGGTTGGCCGACTGTGCTAAAATTAGGATATTGTCCAGAAAAATGACTCCTTGACTCCTTAATTGAGCAACCACGGGTTTCATGATCTTGGTGAAACACCAGCTGACGACAGGCTGCACAGGAGAAACCTGAACCTCCATTTTCGTCCTTGCCACATTAAAAATTTGCAGTTGATCTGCTATAGGAACCGTGAGGTAAGCGTCTTATAAATCTAATTTGGCCATCCAATCCGCTGGTTGGAGTAAATCGCGAAGACAATGTATGCCTTCCATCTTATATTGGTTGTAGGATACATAACTGTTCAGTTGCTTTAGGTTTATGACTGGTCTTACCCCTCCACCTTTTTTGGGGACCAGGAATAGATTGCTGACAAAACCCGGGGTAAGGGTCGGAATCTCTGTGATGGCTTGTTTGCGCATCAGTTCTTGAATCTCTTTGGATACAAGGAGAGCATCTTGATGGGAAAAAAATATTTCTCTGGGAGGGGAGGTTTGGACTGGTTGTGACACAAAATCTATCTGATAACCCGTCATGGCCTATAGGGCCCAAGCATCTGACGTCAGATGTGACCACACATGAGAAAAATGCATGAGTCTGCCCCCCACAAGAAGAGAAAAAAGGGGAGTCTTGACACTTACCATAATGTCATCTTCCAGAAGGAGCTTCTCGAATGCCCGTAGCGACCTGCAGGTCTGCCTCTTTGTGTGAAAGCTGGTGATGTTCTTTGTTCCTGAAAACCAGCTCGTCTTGAATAGGAGCCTCGGTTCTGTCTATAAGATCCTCTTTGTATAAGGCTGGACAGACGGCTCCTTCCTCTTCCTGCCCCGGCAAACATTTTTGGGTTAAAAATGTTCCTCATATTACTTTGTGCTTTATCCAAAGCTGTAAATGTGTGGACAAACGACCCCAGCTCCTTAACAAATAAGTCACCAAATAGTAACCTTTTAGCTTTGGCACCTGGTTCATTAAGGGCTAAATTGACCAGCTTGGGTTCAATTTTGATTAGGATGGATTTGCGTCGCTCAGTAGCAATCGCAGAGTTTACATTGCCAACCAGGCAAATAATGTGTTGGATCCAACCACATATGGTATCTCTATCCAAACCTTTTGACAGCAGGGGCTTATATGTCCAAGACCTTATCCTGACAGTAGGTCAACGAAAAATCCAAACCCTTTCGATTTTGCGGTATACAATAGGCGTTTTACATGCATCATGAGGGACAGTAGGGAGAGGGCATTCTGCCTGTAGCTTATTCCGTGTAGCCTTGTCCAAGTGTTTACGGCCTCTAGAGGCAATGTATCTCACCACATGTTCAGGAGGGCACCACTCTGCAGAACGCTGATGTCTCAAATCCTCTGGATCAAACAGGATAAACCCAGAGGATCCAAGATTTTTGTATCGTCACCAGAGCCAGACACACTTACCTGGGCCCCGGAAATCGTAGCATGGAAGGTGCTCTGGAAGGAGGTGGTTGCCTCTCCCCCTGCACTGTCAGAGTCTGGTTCAGACTGGTCATCTGAGGCATTCAGTATGAACTCATCACTCTCCTCCTCGATGTCACTGAGATCAGACTCAGACAAATCAAGCTGGGCTCTCACCTGCTTCCATAGTCTAGCCGATTTTGCCCGGCTAGTGGCTCTTTTGCGCGGTGGTATTTGCACGCCATCTGTGACAGCAGGAAAGCGGTCTGTCAAATATGTTTTGGAGGAGTGTTTAGATTTACCAGTAGCTTTACGGCCTTGTGTGGCAGGTGCCGGTATAGAAATCACAAGGAGTGACATAAGAGAAAATTCTGTAAAATCTCCCAGTGTCCCCATGTCGCCCAGTGTCTGTGTCCCTATGTCACATGTCTGTATGTATGTCAGAATGTCTGTATGTATGTCAGAATGTCTGTGTGTATGTCAGTATGTCTGTGTGTATGTCAGAATGTCTGTGTGTATGTCAGAATGTCTGTATGTGTATCAGTATGTATGTGTGTCTTTGTGTGTGTCTGTATGTATGTGTGTCTGTGTGTATGTATGTCAATATGTCTGTGTGTATGTATGTATGTCAGTATGTATGTCTGTGTGTTTAAGTCGGTATGAGTATGTATGCATGTCTGTCTGTGTGTATGTATCTGTATGTATTTCAATATGTATGTATATGTCTGTGTCTGTCTGAGGGCATGGATTTTCATTATGAGTGGGCAGCGAAGAACCCTAGACTAAAATACTTGCACATGTCTCTTCCCAAATCAAAAGGGTGTCTGGGCCTGCCCACTCTGCTACTTTGCATAATTGACTGGAATGAGTCCCAGCAAAGCAGAAATTTGCCATCCATCAAAACTGAATTTGTGGTACTTGCAAGGGAGGCAGGAAGTGGAGCTGTCCATGTCAATCATGACATCCAAATGACTCAAGTCATTTACTCCCATGCCTGTGGTTTGTAAAGGAAGGCAGTTACTAGGGAGGCAGTCCGGCATCCGCTGGTGGCAACCACTCTCCATTTGGTTTGTTTCCATACCTCTCTTTCCACACTGCCTAATCTCCTCACTCTGGTCATGCATAACCACTTTCTTAAAGTCCCATTCCCAAGTGGGAGGTTCCCATCCCTACCCCATCTCAAAGCTCCTCTCTGCAGACAAGTTAAAGAGCTTTTCTGCCCTCACTGGCCAACCAACCCACACAGCTATTTTTCTGTTTCACTACTTGTCACTTGCTCTCCGCTGTCAGAAACACATTCTCATGCCTCTGACACCTTTTGAGCAATAATGCACCCTAGGAGAGAGTCTTCGTGAAGGTATTTCTGAGCTTTATATGTTGCTTCTGGCAAATAATTGTCTTCTGACACCCAGATACATCAGCTGCTGGGAGGATGCACTGGTGCAAGTTTTCAGCGAGGGACAGTGGGCAAAAAAAATATTTCTGAACCTTCAGAGCACTATTTCTACAAAAAATGCAGGCGACAAACTACAAGCTCCTCTCTGGGCTTTTATATTCCATTTTCAGAAATTAGCCTAGCTCTTGTTGGCACTGTGGGACAGAGTAGGGTACTCTGCTACATGTCTGGTAAGAGTGTTTGTGAGATAGTAGAGTACTGGAGCACCCACTCTACCTTGTGCCACTTACTGGAGTCTTCCTTTTTGCACCCTGCAGAATAATTTACTTAATTATACTAAATTTCCCATCTTCATCTATAAAAAAAAAATAAACTTTGTTCAAACACTTTCTGAATGCTGCCAAGACTGATCTTGTCTAGAGGAACATTCGCCCTCCAACGTTTGAGCAATGCAAAAGGCAAGGAAATTAGAACAATGGAGGAGATGACGACCTCTATACCAAAAGCAGGAGCCTTATCGCTCAACTTGGGCCCAAGGGCTGAATTTTCTGGATGGGGCACATTTTGGAAATGGGAGATTGGATTCTGGGGCAATAGAGGGGATAGGTAGCCCACTTCTTGTCTTCTGATCCCTCTTATTCTTAGCTCTTTGCCTTTTCTGTTTTTCCCCCTTGCTTTTCTTCTCTCTACCATGCGGGGATTCTGCCCTTTAGCCTGTCCCGCTTTCTTTTGTTAATTATTCATAGTTCCCTACCAAAATACATCAGCCTCTGGATTTAGTCCAAGGCTTACTCTGCTCTGCCCTAGTCACACTGTCTTACATTTTGAGACTACAGAATGATGTGCATCACTTGTTTGTTGTTCCCATGAGCACTTTTTTATACCTCTTGGTTACTAATAACCACTGTGTGGGATATTTTCTCCTTTTGTGAGCTGATTACAAAAAAAGAAGAAAAAACTTAATAGCACACCACAGAAATACCAGGTAGCATGCCAAAAGTTCATCATGTACCCTCCATAGTGGTCTGGGTATATTGAGTCCAAGCACACTATTAACCTGTTTGCCCACTTGCCGCAAGCTTTATGTCAGGAATGGTAGAGAATCCCAATCCACAAATCTTGGTTATCTCAGAGAAACTGATAAGGCAACTTATTATTGGTGCTTAGAGATGGCCGGGCTTAACATGCCGAGGCCAAGGGATAAGTAAATATCAACAGAACGGTGAAACAGGCCAAAGTCAGGATTGAAGAGATCATTAAGATCAGACAACAAGTACATAGTTTGACATCAGATAATCAACAATAGAAAAACACTCTATCACAGGCCATGGCAGGTCTTATGGTGGACTATAAAACCATAGGTATTAAAGGCTTGAAACACTAGAGCGGTGCCAGACGACGAGCATCGCTGAAAAGAACGCCATGCTTGTGTCATTTACAGAAGGTGGAGCTGTCTGTGTCAATCATGACACCGTTATTTTTTTATTGTGGAAAAGACACCAAAACAGAGAAGTTTGTGGCAATATTGAATGGCATACAGCATTGCATCAAGTGCAGAAACAATCCTGGGATGGGTTCCCTGATACTTTCTCAACTTCAGTTTTAAAATGTTATTGCTCCAGAGTAAAGAAATATACTTCATTCTCATCACAGTGTACCATTTGAAAAAGTAGCAAACGTGGGCTGTATAATAGGAGCATTCTGAGCTTTTTCATTCAGTCATTTTACTACCAATATCTGTCAAATTTAGTGGTAAAGTTTATTTTTTCACATATATATTGAAATTTAATGGTGATTTCCACAGGCCTAGTGTATCCTACTGATTTAAAGCCCTTAGATTTGCATTCTGTTTACTCTATGTACAGCAATACACCACATGTATACCTCTGCGTGGTGTCCAGGAAATATATAGAATCAAATGAGAGACAAGCTATTTATAAAACGATTTAGCCCTAACCGTAGTAGCTAACATTAACCAACCATCAGTATCTCAAACCCTAACTAACCCCAAGAGACTCTAACGCTAACACCAATCCAAGCAATTTCCTGTTTAGTATACGGATCTCCGGTTGAGTTGTCATTGTAAGAGCCAATCACAATGATCATATTACTTTAACTGAAAGCTAAGACAAGTGATTACTATGATTGGCTCTCGGGGTGATCAGACTGCCTGGGGACATTCAATGAATATTACTTGACTCCCTCATTAATGAGTTAATAAGCTCTAGCCAGGCATCAGCTGTCAATCATGGCACAGAACCACAGTGATTGGTTGTTACAGCGGTCCTAAGGCATATCATGAGTGAGACTTCTAACAATAGCAAATACATAATCACAGCAGGTACTGTTCTTGATGGAGACACCCTAGTTGGCTGCAGTTGATAACCACAGTGATCACTGAGGACAGTTGTCTCCACAATTGCATGCCTATGGGGAACTCCACAGTTTTTCTATTTTCTATTATGCCAACAGTCTCGCCAATCTCATTACACAAGCTGTCATGGCTAGACCCCATCACAGGCAGTACTCACCTCGTTCCAATGAGGGTGACCACATCTGCACTGCTTCCCCAAATGGGGTCCTGGGCCTTGGTATCCATCCTTCGTCTAGACGTTGGTGATGTTATTCCTTTTCATAGGTAGGACACAGGAGCCCAATAAACACCCAGCATTAAAGGAATTATTGGGGGGTAAGGGTGTCCCAATTTGATTTCCTCTTGATTACAGAAACACCGGTAACAGCTATTTTATCCATTTGTTCTACTGTTGATTCTTCATGTACTAGACCTGGCTAGTAACCCCTAATTTGACCATGTGCAGCCTGTATCGACCTCTTTTCTTAGGATACCTACAATGCTTCTTTCTTTAGCCCATTCCTAAAAGATTATCCCCCTGCCCTGTGCTGACACTCAGCTATCTGGATGCTTTGTCTCCTATCAGGACTCCAGGTTAGTGGTGTTTCGCAAGGGTGTGCTAGATTTTACACGTCGATCTCCCTTTAC